TGAAAACATATCTAATTTTATATTTTGCATAAAAGCGCGTACAAATTATACGATGTAGTAAAATAATTTCTATAACGCATGTATGCAGTTTGCCTTCATATTCTGGTTGATATCTCTCTTTCTCTCTCTCTCTCTCTCTCTCTCTCTCTCTAGATATATATATATATATATATATATATATATATATATATATATATATATATATATATATATATATATATATATATATATATATATATATAGAAAGAGAAAGAGAGAGATTCCTGTTTCCTATTTATAACTACAAGTTACCACCTATTAAATACCACCCATAATTTTTGAACGCTAAATTATGCCACCCATAATTTTTGAACGCTAATTATGATTATGTAATGTTTAAGCTCTATTTGAGAGGGTTGCAAATTTTATATTGTCTTAATTTTTGAACGCTGAGAGATAATACTATGAAACTTAAAATTTATCGATAAATATAAATCTAGTTGAAAATAGTGCAAAAAATGTTTTATCAACTTGTTGCTTTCACATATGGTTCAGGGCGGCAAAAAAATTTTGGGGCTTTTTTTGTTCCCAGGCTCCAATCATCGCAATTTGCAAATATCCTTATTGGACATATGTATAAACATATAAATGTTTGGAGTTTGTTTCATGTCTGAAAGTTATCTCAAAAACAAAAAAATTGAATTAGCACCTCTGCCTATAGGATTCCGGTAAAATTTATAGGATTTTCAAAGGATTTTTATAGGTATCCTATAGGTTCTATAGGAACCTATTGGGCCTATGGGATTGTAATAGGAATCCTATTACAATCTTATAGGTACTATAGGGTTGCTATAGGGCTAATACAATTCCTATAGGTTCTATAGGAATCCTAACGAAATCCCATAGATCCTATAGGATTTACATATGTATCCTATAGGTTCTATAGGATACCATTTTGCAATTCTATGAATTCTGCAATTGTTATCCTATAGGTCCTATATGATTCAAATCAGAAGAACAAAACTGCTGTATTGTTAATAGTGTAATCCTATATAAACAATATAATTCCTACAAGAATTACAGAACTCCAAAAAGAATAATCCAATTTCCTAACAAAAGTAACAGGAGGTTGGTGTAAATCAGTCAAAGGTAGAAAGCATATTTAAGGCAGCTTTGAAATCAAGGAAGGTACAAGACATATTAGGTACTGACATTATACATTTTTTTGGCAGTACTATTTCCCCTTGTTTTATATAATGAATATAATATATAAATATTAGTTTTTTCATATTTTTATTTTTAGATTTGTTTGCTGAGCAATTTCCAAAGGAAAATTATCCTATATTCAAAGAAGAAAGTATTGCAAAGTCCAATGATGAAAGTAAACTTGCAAAACGAAGCATTGATGTTTTAAAGAAAACAATTGTTTGTAGTTAGCATTATGTTAATAATAGTAATAATTGGTATAATTAATAAAAATAACTGACCGGCTGACTTAACTGATATTTTGTTGTTCTTTTTTTTTTTTAAATTTAATTCCTCGTTTTTTATAAAATTAAAAACTGAAAGATAATCCCAAAAATTTATCAATATTATATACATACGTATTTTAAATCATGATATAGAGGATATTCCTATTAAATATCCTTTAACAACTGCAAAAGACAATCCAATAAAATTTCAAACAGGATTGAATAGAATTACTGTATAAATAAAACTAGAAAATCTTGTTAATTAAATGTCTTATAAGACACTGAATAATCAATACTTTGTAATTTTATATGTACAAGAATCCTATTTAATCTTGTTCCGAAATCTTGTAGGAGTTTTTATCCTATAAGACACGGAATGAACAAAACCTTATATTTTTATATGTAGAGAAATCCTACTCAAATAAGTAGGATTTCTGTGCATATAGAAATATAGGATATTGCTCATTTGGTGTCTTATAGGATAGAACTTCTATAAAGTTTTGGAACAGGATTGAATAAGGTTCCTGTGCTCCCATACCTATAGGACTTTGACGGTGTCTTATAGGATAGGACTGTTATAAAATTTTGGAACAGGAAAATATAGGTATATCTTATCCTAAAGAAATTCCTATAGATTGTATTTAATTGCGTTATCCTATAAACCCTGTTCAAATTTCTTATAAAAATGTCCTATATCCTTTTTGTAGGATATTTTAGACTTTTTGACTAAGGTAGCCACCACAATCAATCATATATTACCATCAACACTACTAATATGAGTTTTCTCTGTAACAAAAAGATCTTTAATCAGTCTCTGACAAGTATCAACATTGTCTGCCTGACTGAAACATGGTTACGATCCAATGGTAAGCATACTTATTTTTTTTTAATAAATATTAATAATACTTACATAAGTACTGAACATTGGGATCTCATTTCTGTGGTATTACTATATTTGTAAATAAAAAGATAATTAAGTAAAACAAAAAACATAACAAAAAAAAAAAATTAACTCTACAAGAAACTCAAAACCTGAAAATAAAATAAAATTAACTATTATTTTCATATACCTATAAACACCTGCCCTGAAGATACTCCTCCTGTTTAGTAATATCCCAATTTCGTCAAAATTTGCAATACATTGTTTGTCGATATGGTGTATCTTAATACATCATATCGACAAACAACTCATCGAGCTAGCCATTGATAGCTGCACAATTGATAACAAACCACTTCTATTTTTGGCAGGAGATCAAAGTAATTTTTCTATAGGAAAACTATTTTTAAATTATTAAATTGACTGTTTTAGATTATTAAATTAAGTCAGTATACTGACTTTATTTACCGTTCTCCCTAACTCATTTAGCTTGATGCTTAATCTTCCCGGTAATCAGCTAAGTTTGGCATCTTAAATTTCGCTTTAAAATGCTACGTATCTAATATTTAAACTACTCGCCTGGCTTACCGAAAAGTTATATATATATATATATATATATATATATATATATATATATATATATATATATATATATATATATATATATATATATATATATATATATAGTATATATATATATATATATATATATATATATATATATATATATATATATATATATATATATATATGTATATATATATATATATATATATATATATATATATATATATATATATATATATATATATATATGTTTATATATATATATATATATATATATATATATATATATATATATATATATATATATATACCTCCATGTTGATGGAGTCGCACTTCGGTCTGTGTTTAATTGTATGAAACTTAACAGCTCAAGTGTAAAGTCATTAGAACCAATGCGGGGTACACGACAATGCACTAAAAAGTTGTGCTCTACTATCGTCTTTACTTATTAATATTTAGCTCAAAATCAACAGCTTTATAGCTAAACACCTTGGAATCCTGCTCAACGAGAATCTTGATTAGATAAAAGTGTAAAGCCACTATAAAATCAGTACCAATTCAACTTAAATGTCTAATAAGCGAAAAGACTTTTGAAACACGACTTTTTTTTTGTTTTTAACACAATCTTTTATAAGTATACATGCTCACTTCGTTTCTTACTTCATGCGGTCTTGTGCTAAAAAAGAGCCATTCAACATTTACATAAAAGTGTCTTACGCATCATTGGGATTGATACAAAAAGTTATTAACTAATAACTCTAGTAAGTGCTGTTTAGTTTGTGGTTCAACACCTTGTCAAATCAATCAACTTTACATTTTTTGCAATTTGCTATTAACTTCAACCGGATTTGGAGTACTGCTTGCATGGGTTCAAACTTCATGCATGAATTCGTAGCATGTAGTTTAGAATGCTTAAAATTAACTGCAAAGCTGAAGTGAAGAAGTAGACATCAGACATGAAGTGAAATAGATATCTTGGTTTTTTTTGGACAAAGTGAAACTTGAAACTATATTACGAACGAGTTTGGTTCAAGGAAGTGTTGACGTTTACAGAAAAATAACTTTAAACAAAAAATAAATTTTATTCAATATATGTTCAGAAATAAAGTCGGTGATTGATCTTTCGTGGTCAGCTGGTTATAGATTATCAAAAAAGGGCACTTTTGCCAGATAATCTTTTAGAAGTGCAGAACAAACAGGAGCATTGATGTTGACTTTTTTTATAGTCATTTGGATTTAAAACTATACACTGTTCTATGTACATTGTTATCTGGTTTTATATGTAATACTGAGAAATTTAAAATATATTGCTGAGCAACAGGACAAACCTTTATATAAGTTTAAACCCTAGAATAACATGCCGCAGAACTTGCACACAATGGGTGAAAGTTTGTTGATTAGATGGTATTACCAATTGGAATGATGAGTAAATACCCAAAAAAAAACACAATAAAAACTTTAAAAAGTTTTGCGAGTTTGATTCAAGGAAGTGTTTAGTTTCATAGAAAAATGACTTTTTACGACGTTTTATGTGCTCATTGGATGATCAGTGTTTTACACTTATCAAAGTATCTTACAAACAAAATGACGGAAAAGGAGGTGGGGGGGGGGGGGGGTTCCTTAAAAAGTACAGACTGGTTCATAAAAATAAAAGGTTCCCAAAACTAAAATTCAACCAACTGAATTGTGTTAAATACCCAACTATATTAGTAAAAAAACCGACTATAACTTGAAAATCACATTCTTTTGGGGAACTCCCGAAGCAAGGTAAGATTTTAAAGTTGATTTTGCGCTAAAAAGGTGGTTATAAATCAAATGAACGAAGCATTTAAACATAAGTTAATCTTTTTTCTGACCCACAATTAAATCCTAGAAAAAAAATGTTGGTAACTAGATTAGAGTTCTGCAACATGCTATTTTCTTAATTCAAAAAACCTTCAAATAATATTTTAGGCTTAAAATATACTTACTTTTCTTTTTTACAGGAGTATGAAAAAAACATAGAAACAAGGCCGATGATGTTTACACGACATATTTTGCTGTATAAATATAAAAATCGCAAACCCTAATTTTACGTCAGCTAATAATATAAACAAAACACAATCTTAAATCTCGCAAAAAGGTAATACCTCAGAAAGTTTAATATCAAGTAAAGATTTGTTAAGCATCTAATGAATATTAACTAGTAAACATTTATGTTTACATGTGTTATCGTTATGAGACATTTGTCGCGCTTCATAACAGGAAAACTACTTTTTTACAAGAAGGTGTTTAATCGTTTATGAGTTTTTAGTCTTCATAAAATTGAAGAATCTTTTCACCATTGGTAGATTGAACTCCACTAAAAGTACCATAAATAAAATTTCTTCTCTTTTTTGATAAAAACATGTAGAAACAGTACAAAGCGTAACCTTGTAACAAGCAAACCACATCTGCATTTGTGCAACGATAGTTCATCTTTCTAATTTATTTACCAAGGATAGCATGTTCCAGGGCAATTTCTGAGATAACTATCAACCGTACCTGATTTGGCGTTCATTATTGCAGTGTATATGGTAGCCTAAAACCAATAAAACTATTTTACAAAGTACAAACAACTAACAAAAAATTTAATATGCGCATATTATTTTATTGTGATTATATTATAATGTTTAAATTTTCAAGATTTTATTTCAATACATATATATATATATATATATACATATATATATATATATATATATATATATATATATATATATATATATATATATATATATATATATATATATATATATATATATATATATATATATATATATATATATATATATATATATATATATATATATATATATATATATATATTAGGGTGGGTCATAAAATTTTTTTTTCTTGTTACAGGCTCTAAACATTGCGATCAGTTATTAATAGTGATACTTTCAAATGTGAGAATGATTGTGATAGATTTAAAGGGCGCAACTTTATTGGAAAAATTACCGATACCCTAATATTTTGGAGAAAAAAAGTTTTTCTATAGTAGGTCAAACTGGTACTCAAAAGAAGCGAAATTTTATAAAAAATTCGATAATAATAATCGTTTTATAAAAATCATATTGCTTAAAAAAATTGTCATTAAAAAACATAGAAAAAATGCACTTTTTTCATTGTTCAATCCATAAAAGTAAATACTTTCCTAAATTAGTACATAAAAAAACAACTTTCTAGACCATAACCAGGTTAGCAACTCTGAAAAAAAATTTCATGACCCACCCTTATATATATATATATATATATATATATATATATATATATATATATATATATATATATATATATATATATATATATATATATATATATATATATATATATATATATATATATATATATATATATATATATATATATATATAATATATATATAAGGGTATATATATATATATATATAAGGGTGTATATATATATATATATAAGTTTTTAGTGTATATATATATATATATATATATATATATATATATATAATATATATATATATATATATATATATATATATATATATATATATATATATATACACACTAAAAACTCTGAAACATTTAAAACTAAAATTCTGAAACACATGTAAAATATTATATACTAAAAACCCTGAAACATGTATATAATGTATATAATGTGCGTACTAAAAAACTATGAACAATTACAATTTATACAAAATGCATAAATCCGAAGACATAAAATAATATAATTATACAAATCTAAATAAGAGAGAACAAATGATATATATGTGGTACATGACAACAAATGTTTTTTAAATTTTACATGTTGTCTCAAAACTCCATCGGCTAGTTTTAATTATGAATGGTCTACATAAATAATGAAAAAAATTGGAAAAAGATTTATGGAATTAAGTTTCACTTAACACTCTACCCAGTCATTGGCAATAAAATTATTTACACTTCAAAAGATTGTTTTCAGAAGTATAGATAAAATCAAAGGAAAATTAATAAAGTAAAAAATTAATAATATAAAAGAATTAGTGAAAACCAATTAACAAAGATAAACTTTGTTGACTCAAAAAAATATATACATCTTAAATATAAATATAAGAATAATTATCATTTATTTATTTTAGATATTTTCAAAATTAAATTGCAAAAAATATAGATATAAATGAACCTTATTTTCGATTGGTATTGTTGATAACACGTCATACAAAATTGAGTGTTGATTCTAAATTTAAAAAAAAAATTATACTGGGTCATACTATTATCTTTAAAAATAGAACATATATATATATATATATATATATATATATATATATATATGTATATATATATATATATATATATATATATATATATATATATGTATATATATATATATATATGTATATATATATATATATATATATATATATATATATATATATATATATATATATATATATATATATATATATATATATATATATATATCTTATAATGCAGATTCAGTATCAAACATTACTGATGATGTCAAACAGAAATAGCAAATTGCAGGAACTTCATTGTACATACATTACTTATGGGTTTTGATTTGAAAGCCTTTTTAATCAAAATCCTTATTCGATGTAATATAAACATAAATTGGAGGCAAAAATAAGATTATAAAAGAAGTAAAAACCAATTCTTTACAAATATAAATTAATTATTTACAATAGCTGTTCCATTGTTGCTTTTTAAATTGCCTGCAATTTCATTCAAGCATAATATTGTCTAAAAATAAACCATAACTAATAAAACAACAAACATAAGTAAAAAAGATCAAAATAAATGCTTTGGAAAAAATTATTTAGATAAATGAATAATTGCAAACAAAAAGACTGCCACCATTAACCATTATTGAGTTAAACAATTAAGTCTAATACAATTAAATTTAGCTCAAAGAATAACAAATTTAGCTCACTAATAAATTTTAAAATTCTCACCGGAGTTCTTCTATCATCATAAAATGGAGCAATTTCCCAATGATCATAGTTTGTTTGCACCAAATACCAAGTGGTCGAGGAAAGTCTTTATAAATAAAATACACATATTTTAGGTTATATTTATAAATACTTGTTTAATTTTAAATATATTCTGAATGTATTGCAGACTTTGCTGGAAATGATATTCACCTGTGAAAATGGTATTCACCTGTGCTTATGCCTACACTAAATCTGTTTACAAAGTAAATCTGTTTAGAAAGAGAAATAAAGGTCTTCACAAAATAGATAATTCAGATGCAAATATTCGAATTTATATAAATAGATTCGAATTTATATAAATTTTTTTTACAGAAATAGGATTTATTTTCTGTAAAAAAAATACCTGATACAAATGTCTTAAAATAATGTTGATTTAGTTTCCTTATTTTTATTTTTTTATTTTATAAAAGTAAAAAAATATTGTTTTATTTGAAATATAATTTTTTTGCTAGTTGTTGAGCGAGTTTCAACAAAATTTATTTAGTGAACAACCTAAATGTTGGTTATTAAACAAATTTTTCTATAAACATTTTTTATTAAAAAAATATAATCTTAAAGAAAAGTATAATATGTTTTCATGTATTTTTTTATTAAACATTTTTCATATCATTAAAATTTGTCAAACCATTGTTTTTATTTGTTTTATAAAATGTGGTAAAACTTAGCATCTCAAAACGTTATTAGTTATTCTCAAGAAAATCATTTATGCTTGATTTTTTCATTTTATAAAAATTATTTTAAAAAATTTGAAAAAAAAAATCCTTTCAAAAAAATAAATTATCAATGTTATTATCATACTCGTTATTATTAAAATTACAAAAATTTCAGAGACAACTGAGCCTAAGTTGAGCTAAACTGAGCCTAAGTTGAGCTTAACTGAGCCAAAAACCTTTCCAGTAAACAACCGACCCCAGACCGCCATGTTTTAGACAAGAATTTCAATTTCTATCCTCATTTATTCCCAGGAAAGTCTGTTATCATATTAAAAGTTATAACAGGCAAAAATAAAAAAAAATCAGTCAATGTTAAAAATCAAATAAAAAAAGTACTTACTCAACAGGATTTAAACTCTCAGTATTTGATCTTGAAATTATGACACCTTCATTTAATTTTATTCCGGCAAGTATATAATAAACAGGTGCTAACAAAGGCTCTGTTGATAACATCTCCTTAGCATGTTGATAGCTGGAAACAAAATGTATGTTATCATTTTTTGCTGTAAAACAATTTAGACTTCTTAAAAACTTGAGAGTATTTCATAAGAAACAAAAACAATAAAAAAAAATTTGTCAACTTTCCTTAAAAGTATTCTTGTAGTATTCAAAAATTTATATAGATTTAGCTTGGTGAGTTTTAAAATATTTTACAAACCAATGTAACCATACAAACTTAAAATAAAATCTCTGAGGAAATAGGAGAACACGCATACCCGTGTCTACTATTTCCTCTGAGATTTGTTTTGACATGGTACAAAAAATACTCTTTTTGTCTAAAACTACCAAAAATCTTGTTTTATTTCAAATTGGTTTTATTAATATAATACTTTTTATTGTTTTCTTTAATTTTCTATTATACTGTTTTAAGACACAGGTGTCTTATGTAAACCCATGTAAACAATGTAAAATTTTGTAAATTTATGTAAACAATGTAAAATAATTAGAATCTTTAAGAACTAAAAAAAAAAAAAACCTTTGAGCTTTTTCCATCACAGTTCTTGCCCAGAGACTAGCGAATTTCTTTTTCTCAAATGATAGAAGCCAAGTTATAACACCTTAAACATTTTTTGTGATATCAATAAACAATATTTTATTTACTAGTATAAAAAGTATACTATGTAAGTCATAACTTTAACACATCTAAAGTACAAGAGAGCTTTTGTTTATTGATTTGTTTGTGTTGTTGGCGCAATTTTTTTTATTATTAATTTCCATAAGGTTTTAGATGGGGCCAATACAGTCGAAAAGGCTACTCTTTTTTATATTATTAATATATATATATATATATATATATATATATATATATATATATATATATATATATATATATATATATATATATATATATATATATATATATATATATATATATATATATATATATATATACACACTATAATGCCACTGTGTAAAAAATTAGTTGCCAAAAGTAATTTTAAATTTTTTATTTAATTGTAAAACTATTATATTAATTAACATTAGTTGATATTATTATTACATTTATAGTTATTCATTGTAATAATTAATACATTTTATAGGATTACCAATCACATTAGTTTATTTAAAAAAAAAATGATATACTTAGATAGCAGTATTTAGGAGTAACTTCCTCAACTATAGTGGCCCCTCTGGAGCCTTTAAAAAAGAAATTTAATTAAAAAAGAAAAATTAGCTTTCTTTGTTTCTTTTGTTAAAATAGTTAATTGTAATGTTTAACTAATAAAATGTTTTTTTCTATATTGACTTCTATTTTTATTTATTATTTTAGTTTTTTCAGTTGATAATACTATTAATGCAAAAAAAAGAAGAATTAATACAATGCAAAAATAAATTGGAAGATAAATTGATGCTCAAATTTATTTATCTTAATAACTGAATCGGCTAAGTGTTTGAAAAAGATGCCAACACAGCAGAAAATTATAATGGTGTGTGAGTAGCGCAATAAAAAAATATTTTAATTGGATTTATTAGTTGCAATCTATACATTGTTGGTGTTGATTGTGTAGAATTGTGTTGTGTTGATTGTGTAGAATCATATACAAAAGCAGTTTTTATCTTGATCATAACATTAAACTGATTCTATATTAGGGTAGGTAACTGATATTAGGGTAGGTAACTGATATTAGGGTAGGTAACTGATATTAGGGTAGGTAACTGATATTAGGGTAGATAAGGTTTTATAACGATGGTGAAGATGACTTGCCAAGAGAAGAAAAAGTTTGATCACCTAGCATTTGAATCAAGCAATGTATTCTCACAACAGCTTTAATAGATTATTTAGACATTCAACATTTTAAAATATTTGAAGGTTTATTATCATTTGAGCGGCAAAACAGTTGAATAGTTTTACAATACTGAAAAAACCATATTTAAAACATTAAGTTTGGATATTAGTAATATAAACAAAATTTACCAGAAAATAAAAACCAGGTTCCATTTTTATGTTCAAACTTCAAAATTTTCATTCTTTCATTTTAAACATTTTAATATCTTATTATTTATATATAGTTTTTAAAATATTCATACCATCAATATTTAACTACTTATAGATATACTTTTTAATACCTATATTAATAATATTTAATAAGGTTAAAGTTTCTGAAATTTAAACGTAAAAAAAAATAATAATAATAAAGCTAAAGGTCCAAGTGTGCATGTGTGTAAAGTAAACAAGTTTTTAAAATAAAAACATATGTAACATACTTTTAGGCCCTGCAAACAGTTCATTAGAGCTTCTAGAATTTAAACTGAATGAAAACTTTCCCTGAAAATAAAAAAAATTAAAAATAAATGAATATACACAAAAAGGTAAATAATAACAATTTTCATTTATTATTTCTTTTCTAAAAAATGTGGTTAGATTAAAAGACACAAAAATTGAAAGTGTACATAAAAATATAGGTAACAGTAATAATATTCTACAACACAGAAAACTGTAATTTAGGTAAAAAAAAAAAACTAATGATAGGTAATATATATTAAAAAATTAGATTTAAAAACTTGCAGGTGCAACTCCTGTGAATATACCAACTGTTCCAGCAAACTGCACAGATTTAAATAGAACTTTTCCATTTAGCTAAACAATAACTTTAAATTTAATTCAAAAATGTTATAACATAAATTCTAGAAATGCCAAGTCACAAATATTAGGTAAGTCACACAACTATTCTGATTCTGCACCTCACAATTTACCAAATCAGTTTCACATTTTACAAAATTAATTTGCCATTTTTAATCTATGTTCACTTAACAATGTTCTCTTAGCTAGAATTGCAGGTCATTCTCGATAGATTTAGAGTTACTAATTTTTATTAGTTTATATATAAAATTATTAATAATAAAAGAAATTCTAGTCTTAACCTTCAAAGTAAAACCAGAATGAATTGTTTTAAGTTGCATTCATCTTTTATACTTTAGTTAAAAATGTATTATCTTAGTTCTATACAAAACGTAGATTATCAAAGATCAAAACACTTTTGTAAAATGTGACTGGGGCAAAACGGTCATGGAGGCTATTTTCATTATTTGATCGAAAATATCATCTTACAGTGAAGAACTTAGCATCTCTCATAAATGATTAACATATATGTAACAAAGCATAAATAAATATATTTTATTATAAAAACATTGTTTCTTATTGTTTATTATTTAAATTGTATTTTTTATTTATTTACCACAAAATCAACGTTGATGGTTAATGGCTTTAATAGTTCAGCAACTTTCCATGAATTTTTTTTCAAATCCCACCTAAATAAGAAAAAAAGATACATACAAGAAAATTATTTATTTAATATAACATCTTTAATACTACACTAAATTATTTTTAGAATTTTAATATCGTTTTTTTTTTTTTTAATCTCTTTTTCATTTGTTTTAAAAAATTGATTAGATTTTAAAAAAATGTTACCCCATAAAAACACCAAGATCTAGATTTCTTCCATGATAGATATTACCTTTATAAAAACAATTATTTAATTAAAATCAAAAATTAAAAAAAAAATAGGGCACGTCTAAAATTAGACAGGAGATCAGCTACATAAAATGTCTTGGGATTAAAACATGCCCTTGTATGTCAAGATTTGCATTTTGATTTATAGAGTGAAAAAGGTTTGTAAGATTTATTGGAGAGAGAGTAAGGAAGAGAGAGAGAGAGAGAGAGAGAGAGTTTTTCCTATTTTTTATTTATTTTTTGTTGTCTTATTTTTGTATGTTTTGTGTAAATTTTCTTACTTAAATTGAACAAAAGCAACTAATATCAATTTGCTTGATTGTATCCAGCAACAGTAATTGGACAAATGTTTTTAATTAATTTGATGTTAATATATTCTGTGTTTTATTATTTATAATTTTCTTATTAAACTTTATTTTTTTTTTGACGTCAACATAAAGGAGAGACGTAAATCAGAACTAGTCCTTCATTATAAATAAATACAATACAAACAATGACTGCGTTAGAAAGATAGCATACAAAAAATTGATGGATTAGTAAATTAAAAAAAAACAAATACTAAGAACTTTTATATTTATTAAAGGGCTAAAATTTATATGTTATGCAATCCGAACTAAGTGATTTTGATGTACTTATTACTTTATACTCAGCTTGATAAAGTTTTTAAAGAAATATTTTTACAGATGTAACCCAGTGTGCACAAAACTTGTTTAAACGTATTAACAAAAATTTATACACATTTAAGACGTCTAAAACACGTCTTGCGGCCACCAAAAACGGACTCGGAAATCATTAGTTTTAAATAAACAGTTTTGCGCGCTTCGTCCTAAAGGCAAGCCTGATGCATTTAGTCATTAGTTGGCAGTTAGAACGTGATCCTGAAAATTAATGGTCTCTTGTTTATGAAAAAGTTATTTTTACTGCATTTATAATAAATGCTTTATTACCTTGATCATCACTTGTTATAATTGATGTGCAAAGCTTCTCTAACTCGTAGAAAATATTACACGCCATTATGTCCCCTAAAAATAAAACCGTTATATTACAACATTATTTCAGTTTTCAATGATTTTTTTATACAACTTGAGACTGATTTTCTTCATATTACACACCTATCGGCATTTGCAAAGTTTTGGCTATTCCTATGATTTCTTCGTCTAAAGGTTTTGGAAGTTTATGCACTGCCATTCCCTAAAATATTAAAACAGTATCTATGCAAAGATATAAATAATTGAATCGGGTCAGGAAAAGGAGGGTACAATAAAACGTCAAAACTTATAATTAACTTACTTTTTAAATAAAAATTTTGGTCTTATAGGTTGTAAAATGCTCGGTTATACCACCATACGAATCATATCTCACTAAAATATTTTTTCTCCTGCTTTAAAATCTTTCTTCACTCTTTTTACTCCAAAACACGAGGCCGAGATAAACAAGGCCGCTGCGCTAAGAAACAAGTTGAGCGCGGTTCTACAGTGGGTGTGGTAGGGACCGAACTCCCTCACAAGGCGCTTAATAGTAAAACTTATGGAACCCACGTGGTTATAATACCACATTATAAATTAATAAAGATTTTTTTTCTAAAGTAAAAATTTTTATAAAACTGTAAACTAACGAAAATTTTCAACTAGATATTTATATAAACATAAATATCTCGAACGAAATATATTTATATAAACATCTTGTTCAAAATTATATATATAACTTTCAAGATTTAAACTTTTTATATTAAACTTTATTCAATTTTTTTTTATTTTAAATGTTGTAAAATTTTAATTGTCTCACAAAAAAATTTAACCTAGTATACTAGTTTTAAGAACACACATATTTAAAGAACACACATAATTACTCATTTTTTCTTCAAAACAAACACTTCACTCTAAACCGAAAACCTTAAAACCGTTTTACTTTACCACAATCATTTTGTTCTTGTTGTTTATTTGTTTTTTTTCTAATTGTATTTTACTTTATGCAATAAGTGATGTTAAACAAGGAAAGTTATTTAGGACATAATAGCGTATTAGGGGTTTATGGTCCACAAGTTACGTATTAGGTATTAGGGTATTAGGGTCCACAAAATACGTCACGCAATTTTTAAATATTTTAAACCCCCTCCCCCCTCCCCGTCACAATAACGTAACTTTTTAGTAACAAGTTCTGTATGAGTCGACACAAAATCCCAAACCCGTCCCTCCCCTCCTAAAGTATGACGTAATTTATGGACGACCCTTAGGTTTTTAATATTTAATTTTACAAAATGAAATCATCAAATGAAAAATAAAAGCTTACATTTAAGTTGACAAAAAAATAAAAACTTAAGGTACTCACCAACCAAGTAGACACTGCGTACGAAAATAGTGAAGGCACAAATTCTTTTATATAATTTACAAAGTTTAAAATCTAAAAAAAAACTTTAGTAATGTAATATAAATTTTTTTGTCGAAAAAATAAAAAAGAAGAAGCATTTTTAGCTTTTTAGTAAAACTTCACTTTTTGTGGAAAAACTTGTGGCATTTGATATTAAATAAAATTTATATAAACTTTTTAAAAAGTTTTATCGGCAGAAAGAAGCAAGGGTGTGTGTGTTTGTGCGATATGAGAGGAGGGAATTTGAACTTCACCAAGCTTCAACCATTTTTAGTTTTATTAAATTTGCTGTTTTAAATGACTATAAATAATCATAAAAACAGAGGAGTAAATAAAATGCATTGCAGCAAGTTTGTTTTTTTAAAATACTCTTTTAAATTAAAATGTATTTAAAAAAATTTAAAAAAAACTTGAGGTTGTTCATTTATTTTGATGTTATAGAGTTTTTTTAAATATTATGCAGTTCAGTAACAATACTTTGTTGCTGCTTTCTACTTCAGCATTAATACTCGTAAATGCATAATACGGATAATTAATACACATAAATGCAAAATAATATAGTTTCAAAGAAATTCAAATCTATTTTTATTATAACGCAATAATATTCTGATGTGGCAAGAGAAAAATCGTATTTGTGACTGCATGCAGTAAAATTTCTTAAAGTTTTAAACGTTGCATGCAACGTTTAAAACTTTAAGAAATTTTACTATAAAAAATTAGGATTTAATCAGCGTAAAACCAGCGTTAAAATGAAAAACAAAAAAACAGATTTTAAAATTTAGGATATAGATTTTTATTTTAATATTTGTTATTAAAGGAAGTATTAAAGAAAAGACCAAATGCAAACACACTTTGAGCGGTGCACATTTAAACTTCAATCAAAGCATTATCTTTCGTTTTGTTGACTAAAACTTACAACAAATCTTTAGTTTAAGTTCTGTCTCCAGTTCAGGTACTCTCTATTTTTCCGTAAGTACACTCTTGGTTGCAAAGTAACTATAACTTTGATTCATTAAATGCGTGGGAACATAAATTATATACTTGCTTGGAAAGTAATTAATGATACCAGGAAACTATTATTGTTAATAGTACAATAAACTAGTTTCATTTTTAAAATTCTCAAAAAACTTTGCTTTATACTAACAGGTTTTTATATATTTAGACTATTTACCTGTTCTTTACGAGGGGCTACAATATCTTTCCAGCGTTCACTTGCAGGCTGGTCTAAATTTACGGCATATGTTGGAGGTTGAGAGCTAAAAATGAAAACAGTTCAAATAATATCATGTAATCATTTTATGTTTATATACTATTTATATATCTTTATTATTACTACTATTATTTTAAAATAGTTACAATATTTGTTTCCGAAAACATAGAAAAAGCAATACTTTGAGGTTTCAATTGTTGTATGCGCACTCCATTGGCACTTCTCTATGACCTATAACATATACAAATGGATTTTAAAATAAATTTAAAAATTATATTTGTATCTTTATTTATATTTATGATTTTTATTTGTGTATATTTGAATATTTGTATTTTTTTTTTGGATGATTTGAGGTTATTATTTATCTGAGGTCAATCTGTTTGCGACAATATTTAACTTTTTGTTGTTATTGTTGTTGTTGCTGTCATATAAAATGGATGCGTTTTATAATCCATAAAATCTAGAAAAATCTGTTACTAACTAACCTGATATTAGTTGCAAGCTTACCTGGCAATCTATTGCATTAAAAACACTCGTCGCTAGCAAAATGTAGAACGATTTCATTTTTTATTGCTTTATTTACTAAAAATAAGTTAAGAATTATTTTTTAAATGAATAAATATATTTAATATATATTTTAAAGTGAAAAATCATTTGTGTAACAAAGTGGTACATTTTTTCTAATCATACCATTTATGTTATGTTAACTTTTTTTTTATCCTTAGAATACGATTCTAAGCGATTGTTTACAAAATAATTTTCAAGTATATATAAACAAAAGACTTAGAAATCAGCTAACAAATTAACAACTTTTCTGCACTATTTTTTTCTTTCACCGAAAGTTTAACAAATAACTTATAATTTTGGAAAGACTACTAAACTAAAATAGAAACCGGCATAAATTATTATAAATTGTTAACCCATTTTCTAATCAAACTTAGACATTTGGTAAATTTCTGATAAATACTTAAAAATTTAATAACATGCACTTTTCTATGCAATAACAATTAATTCTTTTTTTTTTTTTTTTTTGCATAAGTTTCTTGAAATACTATTTTTCAGATCCCACTTGTCTTCATTTTTTAGATATTCTAAATGTAGAGACTAATAAACATATATAATTACTTGTATACACCAATAAAAATATAGTTAATCTAGCCGAATGTTTCCTAAGTCAAAAGTTGGGGAAAATTTATTTTATAATTTCAAACTATAAGGAACGCATTTAAATAAAATGAAAGTATTGTAAAAAATATATATAAAGATTGTCAAACATTTGTTTTTTGTTTAAAATCTACAATATTTAGTATATTGGCTCGGTATAGTTTTTTTGTTTCAAAATTGCAATATTTAGTATTTTGGCTTGGTATATTGTCTTTTGTTTTTAATCTGCGATATTTAGTATATTGATTCAGTATTTTGTTTTTTGTTTCAAATCTGCAATATTTAGTTGGCTCAGTGTATTAGCAAATCTTTTGTTTTTGTTTAGTGCAAAAGCATTTTCAAAAAAAACAATACTTTAGCTAAAAATACATGGCGAGATACTTGTAGGCGACTTGTCAAAGGGTAATCTACAAATAGTTTTAAAAACAAGTCAAGCCTTATCTAGAATAATCAAATGTTGTATAAATAAGTATATTTTTGTTTGTGTAATAAAGCTGGGTGCCGCAATAGGGAAAAAATATTTTTTATTATTTTATTTTTGAGATAACTTATACGATACCTTCAAAACATCTTTTCTATAAACTAATTTTGTTAAAAATTTTATAAAGTTTGCATTTTGGGTTAAGTTGTAAAACATATACTATAAAATATTTTATGTTAAAAGTTTTCATTCTGTTGTTTTAAACTTTCATTGTACTTGTATTATAAATTTAATTTCGCTTTATTTTTTTAATTAATACTAATTATTGTGAGTATTTTCCTTCAAAAAATTTCAAAACCAAAAAACCCTATTCGATTTTTTTTTTAACTTGCCGTTTCATTCATTTATCTAGATTCATTCATCCAAGTGCAGGGGCGGTTTTGTTAATAAAATGAGGGGGGGGGGCGGATCCTTTAAAACTGCCGACTGCTTTCTAGATAAAAAGAGCATCAAAATTAAAAGTCTGTCGACTGAAATGTGTCAAATGCCGATTAGCCGACTTTATTCCGGAAAAATCCGGCTTTAAGTTGAAAATCGCCTTCATACGGGGTGTCGCACAGCTTCATCCCCTTTGAACCGCCCTCAGTCAAGGAGTAAGATCGAAATAAATCTTTAATCTGAAATATAAAAGATTAATAAACATTTATCAATATAATTAATTATAAATCAAATTATTATATTGCCTTATTATATATCAATATCATATTGCCTCATAAACCACGTCACAATGTTATAAATTGCAAATAATTTTTATTATATTGCAATATTTATACAATTATATAAATAAAAATTTTATTTTTCAATGTTCTAAACTTAAAACGCATTCGTTTTAAAAATATCTTTTTATAGTCCATATTTATATATTTAATTCATCTTTTCTTTCGTATTTTCTTTTGTATATCATATTTATCTATTTATCTTTCTATTATTCGATAAATCTTAGTACACATGACAGAAAAAAAAAATATATCGGAAGTAGCCATTGAAAGCAATCGTTTTCAGAACTAACCGAATTGATAAAATCTGCGTGTCTAACAAGTAACACATCTTAAGCTAACCTTACAATAAATTTTTATAACAAAGTTTAAATGAAGAAGTGAAATACCTAGAAAACGATAACTAAATAACCTGTACCTGTATTTTGGTGAGCCTTTGCGCTTCTATAACTATTTAAAAAAAAATGGCTTTTTTAGGCTCCTTTTATATTTTTAAAAGAAGTCTCGTTTAATTACTTTGAAACGAAATGCCATTAATCCGAAGAGCAATTATTGATACAGCAATACGTTGAATAAGTGAAAAGTATATTGTCAAACTCGTCAATTTACTTTTATTTTTATAATAAGTTTTGAATAAAATAGGACAGAAAAAAGTTCGTTTAAGTTGGTTTTTACGTTTTTTGATCTTAACCTGACACATAAAGGACTTTTTAATTCTGCCGAAATTTTTTGCGCAATAAAACAAACTCCTTTCTTATACTGCAATTTTAAAAATAAATCTTTTAATTTTTTTTTATATATATAGTTTTAAATATAAAAAACAATTATTTAAACAGTGATTACAATAAAGAACAGTTTGTTACACAGCAGAATCAAACTGCTTTGTTTTTTAGGCGACATTGCCAACATTTGTGGTTACATAACAATCATTACGAAACTAATTTCTTTTAAAAATCCCAACGTAAAATTAGTAAACGGATATGATATATATAAAACGGAAATTATGAATAAATTTTATTTGCTTATTATTACTCACAAAAGCTTTTCGACATTCACACACTATGTATGACATCCCTCGGAAACAGAGGGAGAATACTATAGAATGGAAGAAGTGGATGCACCGTTTTTTTGTGCTTGAGAAAATTAAGACCATATAAAGTTTGAACCTCCCTTAAATTTGGGGGATAGGGGGGGAGGGGAGAAGGGGCTACAAATGTTTTGTGGGTATAATTTTTGAACGCTAAAAGATTATTTTATGAAACTAAAAATTTATTGATGAATAATAGTTTTATTAAGAATAGTAAAAAAAAAAAAAATTAGTTACCTCAAATCTATATAGTGCAACCTATATCACTATATACAACAAAAACATTTATCAAAACTCGATATCTATATCACGCAAACAGAAATTAACATTTTAAAATAATACATGTATCAACCTTGATATTTAACCTTTATATTCACCTATTTAAATGGAGATATAAGTTAAATAATAAAGTAGAAAAATTGAGTTTCTAGTAAAGAGTTATTATTTCTACAAAAAACTTTTGTTTTTATATATCCATAAATCTTGGAACCTGCTTTATTTGCATTTCTTTATTTGTCTTCTCATAATGAAACATTTTTTTCTTTAGACGTACTTAGTGTCTGCTTCTATTATACTCATACCCAGAAGTCTCCCTAATATAACTTTGTATTAGCTTCATTGAAATAAATAACAAAAATATATCAAAACAAAGCTCTTTCTTTATAAAGTTAAAAGCTAAACCTTTCCTAGTTTCCTACGGCCAACGATCATCTTTTAGTCATAGGCCGTAGCCTCCGATCTTTTTCTCCAATTTTTTTTTTTTTTTTTTTTTTTGCAAAGAAACTTTTTTCAAAGCTTTTTTGTATGGCTATATTTTATTCACTATAAAGGTCTGTTTTATCTGCTAAACAAATTGTTTAACGAATAAGAGTCGACTCTGTATTCTAAATTTACAATTTAATATCTTTAATTTATTTCTTATTTAAATTTAGAGTTAGAATTTATAAATATAATTTTATGATAAAAATTTATATTTGGTTATAATAATAATTTTTATTAATAAATATGCAGTAAACAATAATATACATGCAGTAACATCCAAAAATTGTAGTAAATATACTTTTGGTTCTATAAATGTTTAATATTATAGCTATCGTCAATTAAGAGAGCAATCTAATAATGAAGAAAAAAGATAATCAGCTATTTTATTAAAGTAGGCGTGTTATTTAATATTGCTTTGATCGTACATAAGACTGTAGGTCATTGTACACAGCTGTTGTAGATATTAAAATGTCTTAATTCGATTCTTATAGAGCAATTAAAAACATGAAAAAGGATTTTATTTAATCCTTTCTTTTGAAAACTTTGATTTTTTATTTATATTTGTGGTTCCCGACATGTAAACAAACTAACTACAGTAAAGTGCATGGATTAAGTAAAACTGTTTCTTATGAATTAGTTAACTACGGTAAAGTAAAAGTATTAAGTAGCATTGTTTCTTTTGTGCCTTTTAGAAATTAATTAACTACATTAAAGTGAACCACTGTTTCTGTTGTGCTTTTTAATGAGTTCTTTTGTGCTTTTTATGAGCTTCCACAAGAAATTTTCCGCTGAACGGAAAGAAAAGAATACTATCCAATCATGTAACATAAAAATTGCGCATTTTAATTTTTTTGTTACTTAATTGCAAAATATTTTTTTTTCTTCTTTTTTTTCCGTAGAAAATCTCCATTAAGTGGAAAACCACCTTCAACTAACTACAGTAAAGTACAAGAATTAAGTAGCATTGTTTACATCGTGCTAATTTCGAGTTAAACTAAGTACAATCCAAAAACACTACGTTAATCAAAGTTGTTAAAATTATGAAAATTATTTGTAACAATCACAAAATCTTCAAAAATACTTTTTTTTAATAATGTTTTAATTTTAATGGTAATTACTAACGCAATTACCACTTTTAACTTGCTTTGCTTTATTATTTCAATTGTACATAAATAAATAGGAACGAGGAGGGGGTAATCCTATATCAATTTATATTCTTTGCATATAATTGATATACATTTTATTTACTTATCAGAGTGTTTGTACTTTGTTGTAAATACGTTAATGCGATTATTTATCTTATAAAAAATAATACTGAAAATCTTATAACATTACAAATATTGCTTTGGCCATATCACAGGCATTATTATTTTTATTATAGTTATTTTGTAAATAAATTTTGTGCTTAAATACTAGCTGTTCATTTCAAGTAACAACTATAATTCTATTACTACTTTGATATTCTAAGAGCTTAGACATCTTGCATGCACTCGTAAAGTACATGCGATAACTCGTACGGATTGATCTATAAACTGACGTGCTATATATGACGTTCTGTAGCACGTCCGCGCAACAAAACCATTTACGATTATTTTTCCTGCATATACGTCATTCCTTGTTAATCTGAGTTATATAAACATATAACTTGTTTTCAAAATTTTGTTACATACATGCGTGTATATATATACATATATATATATATATATATATATATATATATATATATATATATATATATATATATATATATATATATATATATATATATATATATATATATATATATATATATATATATATATATATATATATATATATATATTGCTATATAAAAGTGTAGTAATTGTAGCTAGACAACAAAAAACTCTAAAGTGTTAAACCCACCTCCCCTAAATATGAAGGCAACAAATTTTCAAAAGAAACTGTGCTCTCATAAAATTTGTTTTAATAGGGAATTTTCATTTTTCATTTATGAATTTTTTTTCTTTGAAAGTTAAAACCATATGAAACTTACAAAAGTGTTTTAGGTTGTAACAAACCTTCAGCGATAAAAAGGAGTTTGTGTTTGTAGAACCAACTAGTGCTCACACGGCGATGATATAAATCACTGACAAATCATAATTTATTTATTTATTTATTTTGTATTTAGGTACTCCCAGAAGTCCTTACGGTCTTATCATAGAGCACCGCGGGAAAGCATTTAACAGGAAGTTCACGCCTCTTTCCGTACCAATGTCGCTTGTTGGGCTAGAGCTGGCGTCAAACCTGGGACCTCTGGGTTCTGAGCCAGAACTCTTTCCACTGCGCCACAGTTGCTTTAAGGTGGTAGGCCTATGAAAAACTTTTTTTAAGCATCAAAGTAAAATTTACAATAAAACTAAGCATTTATTACCAATAATTATGAGACTAAACATAAAATCAAAAAAATATATAAAAAAGTGCCTCGCTTGCCTCAAAAATTTTTTAAAAAGTGTGAAAAAAACAAAAACTTCAAAACACTATTTCTCAAAAGTGACAATAGATCAAAACTCCAAATTTGGTATGGTAGTTCTATATATGTATAAAATTCATTTGTCATAGGATTTTTTAATCTGCCTTCCTGGTTCAGATTATATTTAGGTCAGGTCAGGTTTTCCTGCTACTGGTAACATGTAACCCAGTACAACCTGCTCCATGTCCTGCTGCCAAAAAAACCATTGTCATCACCAAGTTCTCTAAACCTATCATTTACTAATATTCGTGGTCTTCGAAGTAACTTTTCTTCTGTTGAGTCTTATCTCTTGCAAAGTTCACCAGACCTACTTGCTCTTTGTGAGACTAATTTGAGTTCAGCTGTCCCATCTTGTGATCTTAGTGTTGATGGTTATCTTCCTTTAATTCGTAAAGACTCCAATAATCACATGCTTGGCCTGGGCATCTACATTCGTAAGAACTCACCCATTTGTCGTGAAACTAGGTTTGAATCTACAGACTATTCATTTATGTGCTTTCGTTTAGCACAACTTCACTCTATCGCCTTTCTCTTTGTTCTATATCGCTCTCCTTCATCCCAAGATTGCACTATTCTTGATGTTATTTCTGATCAAATTGACCAAGCCCTCTCTCTTTATCCATCGGCCAATATTGTCGTTGTTGGTGACTTTAATGCCCATCACACCGATTGGCTTGGCTCTAGTGTCAGTGACTCTGCTGGCGTTAAGGCCCTCAAATTTTGCCTTTCTCAATCTCTAACTCAAATAGTCAACTTTCCAACTCGTTTTCCAGACAACCCTAATCATTTACCTTCTCTACTCGACTTATGTCTTGTTTTGGATCCTAGTCAGTGCTCAATTTCTCCACATTCACCCTTAGGTACTTCTGATCACGGTTTGATCTCTCTAAAACTATTATCAAATTCTTCTACTTCATCAGAATCCCCCTATCATCGTACCACATACAACTACCTTAAAGCTGACTGGGACTCTTTCCGTGATTTTCTTCGTGATGGCCCTTGGGTAGAAATCTTTCGTCTTCCTGCTGACAAATGTGCTTCTTACATAACTTCGTGGATTCAGGCTGGCATGGAATCTTTTATTCCCTCTCGACGATTCCAGGTTAAGCCTCACTCTTCTCCTTGGTTTTCCTCACATTGCGCTGCAGCAATTTCTAATCGAAACCGTTACTTCCATATCTATCAGCAAAACAATT